TAGGGAGCAATTTGCATGATAGTAGTTTGTCTAGAGTTATATGTACTAAATTGGGTATAACTCTTTGTACACGAATCCAATGACTAAGAAATTTTAAAGGAAGTTATTTGAAAAATAGAGGAACAACTTTTATGCTTTAAGTTTCACCTAGAAATCGATGTAAAATCCTTGAAAATACACCCCAAAATTCGGACAGAATTTACTCCTTATCAACACTAATTTATTAATTCATTCCAAGCCAACTTTAAACATGTTTTAGTTCACTTAAATTTAGTCCAAGTTCAATCCAACTCATCACCACATACTTGAAAATTTTTCAAAAAATCATAACATCATAAATCATCACAACAAGACATCCATACATAGATTTATCCCAAGCATCAAGCATATAACCATTGAAGATTATTACAACCCATGAAATAACCACTAACAAAATAACTTAAAAAAAATAATTTAAGACATTAATCAGCCAAGAAATGAAACCTACTTACCTCTTTTAGGTTTGATTAGAATTTCCTCAGCTCTTTTTCTTTCCTTTTTCCCTTTCTCTTTCTCTTTTTTTGTCTGTTTTTCTCTCTTCAATGTGGCTTCTCTTTTAATTCTGGATAGCTACGGTTTTTGGCCTAAAAATGGCAGCCATTTAACCCTCTCTTTCCCTTATATACTCACCTTTTATCCTCTCATTTATTTATATCATAAGTGTTAAAATTTAACTAGGCTAAATGTAAAGTGGAGGAAGCTTGGAAGGCAAAGTCGGCATGTTTTGAAAGTCAAAGGTGACGATTTGGCTTTTAAGCATTTAATTCAAGTGATTAGGTGGCTAAAGAAAACTTAGGATAAATAAAAACATTAATAAGCTGGGTTAATGTAATTAGACAAAATTTCTTTCATAAAAAATTCAAAAATTTCCATTTTTAAAATTCGAAATTTCTTTTTCTCCAAAATTTCAGCGAGTGTTACCTCCTAACCCATCTATAATAAAATGTGCATAACTCTTTCTATATGTATCCAAAATTTATGAAATGTTATAGAGAGCTAGTACACACATAGGCAAACAACTTTTACTCTTTACATTTTTCTCAAAAATCAATCTAACAGCATCAAATAAATCTCACAAGATTCGGGCAGATTCTTCTCCCAAAATTTCAGCAGAATGCATTTCGAAACAACCCTCACTATAATTGGTATAACTCTTAATGTATAGGTCCAAATATTATAAAATTTTATACAGGCCTATTAAACATATAGATGAACAACTTTCATTCTTTAAGTTTGACCCAAAAAGTACTCTAAAGGCCTCAAATAATTCACATAAAACTCGAGCAAAATATAGTCCTTAAAACACTCGATTTTGCGTATTTGATTTCTTTAATAATTAAAGAATTAATCTTAATCACAATAACTTTAATTTAACATAAATCACATATTTCAAGCATTAATTTCTCATGATAAAATGATAATTATACTTACTCTTAATATACATATATATAGAATTATTCTAATACACGTCGCGTTACGGATAAGGATTTTTACAGGGGTTACAATATGATCTCGAAGCTTTCGTGTCAATTATCCAAGATTTATGATTCATGATGCATGATGAAAGTTTTGAAATTTAAGTGCAACAATAAAGAGTTGATTGAATGAAATCAGTTTTAAGAAAGTGTGTACTTGCCAAATTAAAAAACATAGGTTGATTGACTAAGATTTTAGTTTCGGTATAGTAGATTAGGATGTTTATTTATCTTGAACATCGAGAAGAGTTGATAATTATTGAACTTGATGTTGAGTTGAACAAGCTTGAGATAATGAATTTGTAATTGAATTGTCAATTGTTGTATTATCACTCACGAGTTGCAAAATTAGCGAAGCAAAAGGTCCTCTATTTGTATATGAATTTTTTGGATTCACGGTTTGAGAATTCCCTTTGTTTCGGCAAACCTTGAACCAGCAAGGAAGCCATTCAAATGGAACACCTCTCCCTAATATGTCCATTCTTACTATAATAGGTACACTTTATCTATATCAAAAATGTATTTTGACCGACATAGTTGAATAATCTAAGAAGGATTGAAATTTACATTGCATTGCTTTATGAGACTCTTCTTTCACTACCGGATTATAAACTTCATACAATGAAGGAAATGGCTTCATCATAATCATATGTGACCTCAATCCAACATACTACTCATTTAATCCATTCAAGAATCGAAACACATGGTCTTTCTATTGCAATTCAACAAACATCTTGAAGTAATTAGAATTGAATTCTTCACACCCACAAGTGAGGCAAAGGTCCGAAATTCCTTAACTCCTCTCCAATAAAATTCAACTTAGTGAAGTATTCATCAATACTACGAGTTACCTTGATTCATAATAGATAATGCATATTGAAGATTGCATATCTTAGAATCATCAACATGAGAAAATCTCTTCTTCAACACTCGTCCAAATCTCTACAATCGAATCCATATAAAACACAACTACCGTAATTAGAGGTGAAATTAAATAAAACGACCAAGAAATGATGAGATTGTAGTATCACGGCCAAGGACCATACATCGAATTACTACTAGTTAGTGCAACAATTGTGCCATTAAAAAATCTAAATTTATTGCGAATCAAGAGAGCTAACAAAAAAGATCGACTCCATAAAGCATACTTGATTGAAGTTAGTTCGGGTGAAACGATGACCGAATTATGATTATCTAAATGGTAAAGATAGAAAGGAGATTGTGGATCTTCAATCAATGAATTCAAGGAGGAATTCGCCATTATCAACCTCTTGAACTAAAAAAAAAAAAAGAGAGAGAGAAAGGATATGAACCCTAATTTCCTAACTTTGATACCATGTTTGAATACGAGAGAAAAGCTTAAATAAGAGATTAAAAGAGAAGCAAAAACTTAATTCTCTTCATTGTTATACATGCAAAAACTCTCCTTCCCTTTTAAACTCATTGTCTATTTATACAAACAAAGGAAGAAGAAAGAAAAAGACTAAATGGAAAAAGGAAGAACTTACCTCTCTAGCTAATCGAATCGGTTATAATAGAAATAATTAATAAAAAATTACCACATGTAGCTCTCTTAATACCCATTAACTTAGAAGAATTGTAGCTCATAGTAACAATGGTAGTGCTCTATTGTTACGTTCTCTACTGGAGTTGGTTTTCGCACTTAATTGGGGTCGGATTGTGTTTGGGTTTTGCGAGTAAAAGGATTAGGAATTTTTAGAAATTCAATTAATTGGATTTATGCTTGATTGACATATAGTTTATTTTATTAGGTTTGTGTTTGATTGAGATGTCGTTCATTTTGGGGAGTAAATTGATCGTATAAGTTATGTAGAATCCTATGAGACATTCATGTCTTCATTGTTATATATCTCCCATGTCACGTTAACTTAAAACATAATTTATACCAAAAAATATAACATCGTACTAATTGGTTACCGAAACTTAATTCATATATTTTCCGTCTAATTTTGAAAGAACGTGTCAAAATAATTAAAATTTATTAAGTTCATAATTTTATAGTACAATAAGCCAACTAAAAAAACAACTAATAAATAATCTTTATTTCATGTTCACGTGGTAGAAAAATCAATATTTGTTAATTCGAATTGAAATATGATACTCGTTACTAATCAAGGCTTGCAAAGAAAGAAAGAAAATAAAATCTTTTTAGTATTATCATATATTTTTAACAAGTTATTTTACAAAAAATTATCACGACAGAGTTACTTTACTAATATTAGCAATATCATATAACTAAATAAGTACCGATTTGCATTTTCTTAACTTTTTTTTTTAATTCGATTCTTGTCAATTCCTTAACAATACAAATGTTTTAAGTATCTCAAATTTCAATTTTCAGCTATTTGTTTTTATATCCCCTCCGAATAAGTGAAATGATGAAAAAGTGATATAATTTAAAGATTTAACTCGTTATAAAAAAGTTCACGAAAAACACTATAAACAAATAGTTTGAGTTATACTTTTATGTCTAACATTAAAATGCTAAAATAGACTCAAATTCATAAAATTTAGTTTCACATGCTATGATTTTTGCCTTCCAAGTTTGAAACAATTTTGTCCGAATAGATTTATTGCTCAACTCCACAATAACTTATATCATAGAAAAGAATAAGCACCTTAAAAAAAAAAGCAAATAATAATTTTAATAATTGACTAGTGTATAAAAAATAGAAATGTAACGAGTTTAAGTAAATAATATATCATAAGTTTTTTACGATGCTTAATTAAGAAAATGATAAAAAATTATATTTAAGTTTTTAAAAATATAATTGTCATTGTTGAAAAATATGCGTTACTTAAACTTAATAATAAATAAATTCAAAATTTTAACCATATATATATAAATTTTCAAATCGGATTGTTTTTGATCATATCGAGATGGATTTAACGGATTTGAATCATAATTGAATCTGAGTTAAAAAAAATTATTTATCGAATTTATTTAATTACATCAAATTTAAGTTTAGATCAAATTTTCATTTACGGTCCTAATAGTAATACATTGTTACCGATAGACATCACTCTCATTCGGCAACAGATACTGACCAATAAAGCCTACTATAATTACTAAAGATTTCCATCAAGAAAGGACATGATCGTCAATGCGCACGACGACTAATGATATGGCAACAGCCTGTGAAACAAAAGGGTGTCACTATACTATTCCTTTTCAAGTAATCCTTCACTGATAGTTCCAAAATTGCTACTATTAACATTACACTAACAAACAAGCAGTAACATCCCTAATCAACTCGCAAATGTAGCACATGAAAGATATCCAAGCATGGTCCTCCAAAGCTGCGATAGGTAAAAAGGTCAACATCTTCGACTCTCCTCACATTACACATTTATGTGTGTCCTTTATGAAACTGACAAAATTGATGATATCGCAGCAATAGTTGAAAAAAGTTCCCAAAATTAACAGCGGTAACTTTTGGAAAACAAGCACAACCAAACCCGAACTCAGGCGGAGTCAATCACCCAGTGTTGGCCATCAGTTTGGATTTTGAGCCCATTCATCTGAGCAAATAAATTTACCGCTCTCCTCACACCTCTATTGTCCGCTGCAGTAAAATAGTCGTGCCCAAAAATGACCCCACCGGGTCTTAAGATTTGATAAGCCCGGTTAATATCCGCCCAAGCCGAGTTAAAATCATGACCCGCATCGATCTCAATCAGATCACCGAATACACCCCACTCGCATAATTTCTCCAAGACTGACACGCTCGAAAATGGGATGGGTAAAACCGACCCAGTGGCATTTTTGTGAATGACATTCTGCATGAACTGGTACAGCAACAACACGTCACCGTTTATCATATCAACATAACCAAACCGGTCACGAAACCCGGGCCACCCGCGAAAATCGTCAATGCAAAGAATCAATGAGTTATATCCGAGTTTTCGAGTCAACTCGGCCATGTGGAGGGCCGAAGCGCCCAAGAAAGTACCCACTTCGATGATCACCTTGGGCTTCACTTTTTGGATAAGGTGTTCAAAAACTTCACCGTACGAGCCCCATCCCTTGAGTTTTTCTCTCTAAGGAGGCCGCTAACGTACGCAGGAGGGAAATTGTCATACGGTGACGTCGCGTTGTAAACTCGGTGAAGAACTGTTTGATGGACAAGTTGGGGTGGAAGGGGTTTGGCACACTGAGTCTTGACCCGGAAGTTGTCGAGATGAGTTTTGACGTTATCACCGTCGACTTTCAAGATTTCTGGAGATGGTAAAGGCCGTGGTGGAGAGCGGGCGCTTGGAGCTGATAAGTAACCTAGGGCGTAGGATAGTAATAAAAGGATAACGTACAGAGCTGGAGAATTCAAGAATCTGAATACGAATCTTGGTTTCTTGTTATTGTTGGTGTGGTGATGGTGGGAAGATGGTAATTGGTCTTCCTTCATGCTTCTTTTTAAAGTATTTCTTGGAAAAAACGAAAGATTGTGAAGCTTTAACTGCGTAACAATGGTAATACCATCAGATAAGTATTTTGGGTTTTGTCCTTAATCCGTAATAAAGTGTAAGGTTTTTCAAAAGAAAGAAAAGGGAATTGAAGTTTTGAAACGAAGATATTGTTGGTGTGGTTTGAGTCGGTTGAGCCTTTAGTACACAAATGGAGATGGAGATGGCCGTGTTGAGAAGGACCGGAAAAATAGGACCGGCTTCAATGGAATTAAGCAAGTTTTGGGGCTTTGGAGGGATCAAGACTCGAGGACATAGTCCATCTGAATATATTTCCAGTCATAGCTGGATCAACGCTTTCCTTGAAATTTAACCATCCAGAATTCAACGGACTGCAAATGTCATTTTCTTTAATTGTTTTCTTTTTAATGGCTTAGTTTGTAGGTAAGACATCAACGTTAAGGAATATTACTCAAATAAAAAATGAACTTTTATAATCAAAGGAAATTAATGCCCTTGATATTTTCTAATAAAGCATCTCCTTCAAGTTAGGCCTTAAAATTAATTGTTTTAATAAGTTCTTAGCCGATATGAGAATTACGTTTGAATGGAGACCAGCACTTACTTGGCACATCATGGATATATATAGATATATACTTGGTAAAAAGATTGGGTTTCTTACGCAGCAATTTATCAAGCTTATGTAAGCTGATCCGATATTGATTCGCACATTTGTTTGTTTATTCAACCCAAAACAAATGTTTTTTGAGTACAAATCTGAAAAGGAAGCTGGCTTCAAGTTCACGATGAAGGTCCCTTTTTAACGGGTCTTAGCCTTCTCCTAGTGAAGCTTCTTCCTTGTCTTTCGCTTTCATTTGTAAGAGTTCATCGGTCCTTATCTTTTTTTTCTTTTTTCTTTTTTCTTTTCTTTTTAATGTTCTTTCCCTATATTCTTCTTTTCATTGAAAAAAAAAAAAATTACTCCATTTACTTTTTCATATTTTAATTCCATTAATAATTTAATATTTTTATCAGTTTTTCAAAAGCATTGATATTAAAAAAATCATTAATCTAAAAAAAAAACTAAATTATTGAGAAAATTAATAGATAAATAATCTAATTATTAGTTTACGAAAAACTAATTATTTCATTTCTTGAAACGAGAGACTAATTTATAATTTACTTTTTTTTCCCCATTCCCTCACTAATCACCTCCCTTCCCTCTTAATTATGCTGTTCCATTTATATTTTTTCTTTCCGTTCACGAGTTTCTATAACTATAATTTCAAAATGGCTTCAAGTATGAAACAGCAACACTGAAAAGCAAAGAATGCTGAATCGAATAATTCGATTGCCTATTTTACCAACACGATCTGCATGAACTTATTCACACGTGGATTCTACAGTAGCTTTACTCATCAAGACAAAAAAAGTAGGTGGAGGCTAACAGACTATATCTAAATGCCTATCAACTCAATGGCCCAGTTAATAATTCTTGAAGAAAAGTGTGCCAAACAAAACTAACACAAAAAGATGACTTTTGAGACCAAAATTCTACAACACCAAGCATCAACTTCAAGTTGTAACAAAATGAAAGACAGACAATTATGGACCACAAGCTTCCACCTCTTCCTTCTACACAAAATACAACGGCCTCTGTCTCACCCCTGGTTTGATTTTGATTCATTGGCATACCAATACCTTATGACTTGCCTACCTAACTTGTCAACACTAAAGGGAAACATAAGAAGTCAACTCTTTACTCAACCTAGCATAGATCAACAGAACAATACCAGTTCTGCAATAAGGGGTGCCTACTATCAACAGCCAAAGGGATTTGCAGTATCCCTCAAGAGGCCACATCATTTTGCATCCTCAGAGCCATCACCACCATTATGCCCAGCAGCAGAACCCCCTGGCCATCAGCACCAGTTGTGCCAGCCTCAGAGACATCTTGTTTGCTTCCCCCACGCACATCATTTGTGCCAGCACTTGCTGAAGGGCCACTGCTTCCAAGAGCAGTCTCAGCATGCATTGGATGCATGCCATTGTTAGCCCCTATAGGTCTAATTCCCATTTGCCCTTGCATGGCTTGCTGGTGTAACTGCTGAGGATCCCGCATTTGATGTACAGTATTGAATTGCAATGGCATCTTTTGGGGAAAAATACCTGGTTGCTGAGCCATTGCTGCCGCCTGAGGATGTTGCATGTAATATGCTCCTTGTTGCATCGCAGGATGCGGGGCCATCTGAAAGCAATGGTACTAATGAGCATATGCAGGGTAAATGAATTGCAAAAGATCAGTCATATTTATTACTACCATTCACCTGGGGAGGCATTGCCGGTGCCTGTGGTTGGGCATCGGCAATTGCAGCCAAATACATCAAATTCTTCTGCAGTTGGGCTTGATACCTAGTTCATCGAAATTTTATATGTACACCTTAGAAAAGTTGGCAATGGAAGTACATAAATAACAGGAACCAACATACATTTTTTCCATACGGTTTTAAAAAAGGAAGCATTCTCAAAAAGGAATTAAAAATGAAGGTCTCCGAGATGATAATACGGGCACAACCAACCTCTCTTTGGCTGGAAATCCACAGTCTAAACTTTACCTTCTGGCTCTCCATTTCACCTGGACTGCCAACTAACTGTACAAGCATATTTTATTATACCAGATCCTACCTTCTTCAAGTGATGTTTATTCTTTGCTAAGAACAGTGAAGCAATAGCAGTACGACAGTAACCAAGCACTCCCATTATATGAAATAAAACATCTGTAGTAACATGGCAACCAAAACATAAATAACTTCATCAACTCTGATGCAATGGCACTATTATTATGTGTCATGCACTCTAACAATCTCCACCATTATTAACAAATAAAAGATTATTGAAGGCCTAATCTTGTACCAGCCAGAGTCCACAAGATCAGACCCATTTCCAACAGGACAAGAAAACTGACCCAAAGTTAAGATTGCCAATCAAGAATACATTCCGAGATATGCCACTCTAGGCTTTCAACACCAACACCAACTACCAACTGAATGTATTGAAATTGATTGTTCGGAAACTTTTAAAATGCTAGTGAGCGATTTGGAACCCAGAGGACTGATCCAGTCTTGGTTTAAACTGGTCCCAGAAAATGAAATTCTAGGTTTCTGCCCTAATTCTGACGAAGATTATCAAATATCTGATGTAGCCTCTTCGTTAGAGAAAAGTTACCAAACTTAAATTTAAAACAGCCTCAGCAGTCATGACCCCCCCCCTCTCTCTCTCTCTACCTGGTTTCCAAAAGCCCCACTTACTGTAATAGATCAGATCTCGCATTATGCTTAAAACGCACACTAAAAACTCAGCACACAAGAAACAGCATAATAGCATGGCCATACACTTACAAGGAAGAGAACAAATTGCTTACTGGGCACATTCAGCAAGTTTTCCGAGGTTTTGGTTGTCCAATATTGCCAAAATCAACTTCTTGTTTTCATCAAGGTACTGCAGCAAGAATTAACACAGATAAATTAACCTTCATGTGACTAATATCAGCATATAATCCATCCTAGAGTTCTGACAGCATGAGGGGGCAGCTAAAAATGGAAACGAAGATCAGATATTGCTCAATATGGCAGTAAGAGGAAAGCAAAACTTGAATAGGTGTGAGTGCATATAAATAAAAACTGAAGCACACCCTACAACCATGGATTTAAATTCATGCATGGCATGGTTAAGTTTATACTATACTCACGTATTGCTACAAAGTATGACCTTTGGTCACGTTTCATAAACAGGAAAACACATCTACTGGCTGCAAGAATGAATTTGCATATATTAATATTGAGGATTTCACCACGATAGAATGGGTTTAAGATATAAACATGCACACAATAAATACGGAAATTTGCAGTTAGAGAAGGTTCAAAGAGACTAATACTTTGACAAATACAAATTTCAATAAATAAATTCCAAATCGGGCTTGAATAGCTGAAACTTCCAACTTCTAAGCTCAATCTAGTCTACAACTTAACAGTTTACGAATAGTTCCCTCATTTCTTCCTCTTTTCAATTACTATGTTTGTTTGGCCTAAACAAAAACTCACAAATAAACACCCCGAGATTAAATTAACTGGACCCCCTTCTTAATTGGCATTAAACTGCCATTTATACAAATCTGTCACGATAGCCATGAACCTGCATAACCATTAGCCAACTAGTTTAAGCGTCGTGGATTGTTAGAAAGCCTAATAGAACCAAGAGGTAAAGATAGAGGAGCCTTGATTATAAGGATGACAAGTTTGGGAAAAAAGCCTATCTCCTGAGCGGGAGAATATTTAAGAAGCCATAATCAGTAGGCTTTTTATCGCCTCACTTAAACGGTTAATCATTACTTCTGCCACTTATCAGCTAAATGTAAACCCCAAAAGTCCAAGTCCAATACAGCACCATCATCAAAGACCCCCCAATCAATCAATCATAGAAACAAAACCACTCACAAACCATAACCCAATATATGCATAGAATAAAGGAAGAAATACAAAAGATCTACCTTTTGGATCTGCTCAGTGGTGATGTTTGCTTGTGGAAATGGAGACATAACAGGAATCATTTGCGGTGGCTGCTGCATCTTGTTTAATTTGTTTTGCTCACCCAAACCCTAACCCTAATCCCAAAAAACAATCCCCAAATTGATAAACCCTAATTAAGGAAAGAGGTAGAAAAAAATAGAGCTTTTTTTATATTTAAAATATATGGAGAGAGGGGAGTAGTGGAACACCTGTAACGAGAATATATTTTGAAGACAGTGAGTGAGTGGATCCTCGGGGTTTCTGGAATTTAAGAGAAGGCAGAAGCAGGATAGCGTCTTTTACTTTTTTATTACCGAACGATAGATACTTACACTTTGGGAGTAAATTATAAATTAATTCATCTAGTTTTACAAAATAAAACTAAACTCTTTCTGCTTTCAAAAACTTATTAATTAATTCTTTTTGTTCATTTCAATTTTTTTATAATTTATTTAAAAAATTAAAATATTATGAAAAATATTGATGAGAAAATAAATATTTTTTTTCCTAAGATTATTTAATTACTTTTGTAAAACTAAAAACATTAATTTATAATTTACTCAAGGAATTGGTTTGTCTTTTAAAGAACTATTTTTACCCTTACGTGATGGTTACGTCAGTTTTTTAGTTGAGGCTCGACTTTGCTTCTTTGTGCTTCGCAGAAAAATTGACTATTAAGCTATTAGATAAACTGTGTGGGGGAGGTTCATTTGTCTGTACAATAGTTGCAATTAATGGCAAGATATTAAGCAACTAGCTAGAAACGCAACTTGCACTCATCATTTTGTTGGTTGAAACTTTTTGTTTATAGTTTTTATTTTCTATTCATTGTTTAACACCCTGATTTGATTGAAAATTCCACTTTATTTTAATTTGATTTAAATGTTATCTCAATATTCAAACTCGAGAAACCAATTTTTTGAACTATCAAAACAATCCATTAAAATTATCTTCTCAAACTTATCTCTTCAACAATAAAAATCCAAAGATGGACAGAACATTCATGATTCTTGATTTGAGTCTCCTTACAGAAGGGATTAACGGTTAACAGCGATAGATGGAAACGTGATGCTTTAAACATGTTCGAGCGAAGAAAAACGTAAATGGAAAGTGTAGTTGGTGATTGTCCCTCTCGAAATAGGGGCTATAAGGATACAAATATGTAATGATGCTGAGCTATTGAAAAGTACAAAATAAAACACGAAGCACGAAGCGACTGCTGGGTGAAGTAAATGATTTTTATTAAATGCCATATCCTTCTCTTTTATTAAGCTCAAGGAAAACATTGAATATTAAAGACAGTTAAAGGTGAAATCTTTCCGAATGTCAAATATTCTCGGGTACACATTGGATCCCACAACTCTTTATGGGGGTTGACACGTGACCGGTGACCGGTTCTTTTCATCTTGTTTGTATCTTGCTTGCAAAAGCATATCCTTACTCGGTTAAAACCCGAGTAAACGTAGATTATACAAACAAAATCTAAACGGATAGGCAGTGCTGTTGATGAATGGAAATACTCTTTCGTAATATGATTGTTCGAGCATGGATCGGGAAGTTTGATCCACACTCTATCTATCAGAAAAATAGATATTACATTTATTAAATACACGTACATGTGTAATATTATTCCTTGTTTAATGAGCAACGAATAAATTGCGTGCGCCCATTAGCACTGCTCTTGTGACGAGGCGCCAAAGCCAGGATTCTATACAAGTAAAAAGTCAATCCAGCTATTGGTGGATAAGGAGGAAATATAGCTCCATTTTCAATCTTCGAAGTGTGTGCCCATTCGGCGCTCAAACTAGATAAAGAAAAATGTTGAATTCATTTTATTACCTTACCATCTAACACTAACTTTAAATTCAAGATAAAATTTTAATATAGACTCTAGGTTATTCTTATTTCGTTTTCCAACTGGGTAGGCAAGGATACGAGTGCTATAGATTATAGCAAATTAGCAACATAATGTTATCCTTTCAGAGATAAAGAATGGAGTATCATATTTAATTGATCCAGCTTGAACCATTTATTTGTTCTATTTGGTAAATTTGTGAGTTGTCCTGGTTAATTTATGCCGAAAGGAGGATAAAATTATGTAGCTAATACTTTACAAGTTCCATTTTGCACTGATAAAATTGCTTAACAAGCCGCTGAAATTTCTTATGCTCGTATTTGCATTGAAAATTATGCAACCAGAAAATCGTCGCAGCAAGAATGTTTATAAAGAATATCAAAAAATAAAAATAAATTAGGTTTTCATGTTCTTGAGAACATAAAAACTCTATAAAGTATTTATCGTGACGGTGAGGGTACTATTATGAAGTTGTTGGATTATCGAAACATTTGAGATTATAAAACATAAATGGTAGTAGAAGAGGAAAGAGGAAAGAAGTCAAGGAAATGACATTAATAAAACATAAATGGTAGTAGAAGAGGAAAGAGGAAAGCAGTCAAAGAAATGACATCAATAAAAGCACAGGAACTTAATGTTTTATGTCAAGAAATTCTAGTCAAAGGATCCAATTGATAAATTAAAATTATTTAATAAAATTGATGCAAATGGGTTTTTAAGAACTAATAAGATGTTCCATCGATAAGTTAGTCAAGATATAAAAAATTAGTATTGTGATTTTAAAAACAACAATTAACTAACCAAACAAAAAGAATGCAAATAGTGAGAGACTTTGAAAGAAAAGTAAGTAATGTTGTTAATACGTGAGTGGAAAAGTTTTGAGAAAGAGAGTTTAAGGATTTTTTTTTGCTATAAATTAAAAATTATAAAGTAAAAAAGTTTTCTAATGTAACAGTTTTGATCCTCTCACAATGACGTGAGGTCGATATTTATAATAAAAGAAAATGACCTTTAATCGTTAAAACCATGCCACATCATCTAAGTTTAGATAGTCGGCTATTATTTGAAGAATTTAGGTTTTTTAAACTAAAATGCTTCAACTTATTAGTAAATACTAAAAGAAGTAACAATTGATTTTTTTTTTTTTATCGGACTTTGCTCCGAACCCACCAAGCAAGCTCCCCAATGCATTCTAAAAACAAAGGCATAGACAGTAGCTCGTCAAAATACTCGTGTCCTTATTGCGACCTAGAACATTATGTTGAGTTAGGTTCATTCTTAGGTTGTGTTTGTTTCGAAAAAATAAGTTTCGAAACTTGTTTTTCCTAATTTTTTCTATTTTTTGATTTTTATTTCATGTTTAGGAAAAAAAAGTCAATAGAAATTGATTTCCAATTAACAAAAATTAGTAGACTATTTTTGAAAAGTACTTCCGAGCTAAAAAAGAAGAAAACATTTTCTCTCTCTCTCATGAGTCTGTCTTGCTCTCATGTTACTCACCTCTCTCTCAATATTTTTTTTCTATGTCTCCTTTTTTATGTAAAATATATCAAATTAATTTTAATTATTAATTATCAATTATTTAATTATTTTTCTCTATTTCTACTAAAATTTGATTTTTTGATTTATAAATACATTAAAAATTCTTAAAAACCATTTTTACAACTTAAAATTATTTTTATAATAGATATTTCAATAATTTATTTTTATTTTTTTTACCATCATCTAAACACCACTTAAACTATACTTAAATGATTAGAAATGATTATTACAAGACTCCAATTATTTGAGAAAATTTTGAAACTAATCAATTCATTAATAAGTACATTATTTTCTCAATACTATTCATTTGCAACTAAATCAATAATTTGTGACTAATTTTAATCGGTTGTAAAATTTTGTTAGTAATTATAGTCAATAATCGATTACTGATTATTTCAACATTAATCTTTTGAAACCATATGAATAATTATCTATAAATAATAACTAATAATTTGTAAAACTATTTTTTAGACTAAATTATCGGTTTAATTTTTTTTTAAAAAAAATTCTTAATTGAGTTACCAAAATAACAATATTAGGATTATTTAATTTTTATTTTTTTTTACTAAATATGAATGTTGATTTGATTTTGTCCCAAGTAGTTTTGATGAATTGGTTTGATGGTTAAAAATATATTTTTTATTTTATTATTTTTTGAATTTAAATCTTAGAGTCGGTATTTATAAAAATTTATTAATTTTTTTTTCTAAATGTTAGTTTCAATTGTAAATTAATTTTAAAATATTTCCTATATTCGAATAAAAAAAATTATTGTCCAAATGATATTTCAACTCCATGGGTCTTTGTCTCACTATATTCTTGATTATAATTGATGTTTTTTGTTTTGAGACACCAACATATTACTAACTCATATGTTTTATTTTGATAGTTTTTTGTATATAGACTATTATGGATGTGAGATCTTTTAATATTTTTTATATTATGAGATGGTAAATATGTATTGTTGAAGTTTTCTTTGAACTTATTGATGTAACAATTATAGTCTATTTTGATATTTTAGTTTTCCGTGTGAAACAAATACTAAAATATATTTTTAGCAGCTTTTTTATGTAATTGCCAAATATAAGAAAATATTTTTTTTAAAAATAACTTCTACAAAATTGTTTTTCTTGTAAGAAGTTGTTTTCCACAAAACAAACAGAGTCTTAATTTAATTTATTTGTCGTGTAATTTAAACTTGTGTCAAATAAAAACAACAACAACAACAATATAGATTAATGCAGAATAAAAATTAATTGAATCAATTAATTTTATAAAAGACTGAGCATATACAATTGATAAAAAAAAATGCCCGGAAGTAAATTAATACTAACCCAATAAGCGTGGAACATTTTTTTAGTCGAAATTTTAAGCACCCTCTTCTTAACTTTCATTTTTACTTTCACTTTTATCACTTGAGGAAGGAAGCTAGGAGTTCTATCTATTCTTACACCTTGAAGTCAATCGGCAATACACTCTTGAATTTTTAATTTTATCTAATGTATTTTTTGAATTATAATGAAATCTTTCACGTAACCTTCTCTTGGTGAAATTTTCCAGATTATTAGACGAGAAGCTTGCAAACTACCATGCAAAATGGCTCCACTTTTGTCATCACGAGTCATGACCATGGCATGTGATGGTTCTACTTTTATTAAATTCGAAAGATCCATTACTAAAGGTTTGTATGAGAGATTTTGTTATAATTTAAAGAGATTAGACATGCAATAAAAAGTTAAAAATAGAAAAAAAGTTGTGTTAAAATATAAAGATAAACTAATTGATTTGTAAATTTTCGTAGTAAAATAGAGGGGGATTTATCATGGTTTTATGATAAAACTATCCTTTAAGATAAATTAAGACTTATTTTAGCATATTGAATGAAAGCAATTAACAAACACTTACAAAACATGTGCAAATTAAGCAAAAGCATTAGCAGTGCAAGTCATGTGCAAGTTAGGCAAAAGTATTAGCAGTTGAAGGACGGTGGATGTGGTCTTAAATAAAATTAAAAGGTTTAGAACTCAATATATAACAAGATGACCATTTACGGGCTACACCAACGGTTTAATGATACAATTTATTTATATTTTATTACGATTTGATAATTTTAGATTTATAGTATCAAATAATGTAATTTGAGTTTTAAAATATTAGATATTAAACAAATGCGATTCAAATTGCCTAATTTTTGATATTGTTTTTACATTTTGTTGTTAATTATATATTTTTTAAATATTTTTAACTCCTTAATCTTGAATTTTTTTTTGCACTTTTTTATTATAAAATATTATAAATATTTTATAAATTATATAAAAAATTTTTTATAGATATTTTTAACCTCCTAATTTTGAATTTTTTTATAAAATATTATAAATATTTTATAAACAATGTTTTTTCTATATATATAATTTATAAAATTAAAGGGGTCAATCCTTAATTATGCTCATTTTAATTTATAAAGTATCCTTTAAGGCTTGAAATTGTGTATAGTTAATTATTTTTTTATAATAATATTTTATATTTTTTTTAAAAATTCAAAATTAGAAAATTAAAAATATTTATAAAATATTTTTTTATATAATTTATAACATATTTGTAATATTTTATAAGAAAAAAATCTTAAAAAAGTAGTTTAAGATTAAAAGATTAAAAAATATATTTTTTTAAAAATTATTAACAATAGGATGATAAAACAATATATAATGAAAATTAAATAATTTAAATTATATTTATTTAATTTTTAATATTTTAAAATTTAAATTACATAATTTGATATTATAATTGTGAAATTATGCCATCGTATTGGACAAAAGTTGCCGTTAAACACTAAAATGAGGTTTTCTCAAAATTTTAATGATGACGTTAATAGAAAGCGTGCAACCGCGCGTGGATGATAACCAGGCAAACACAGTCGGGAAAGACGACTCCTCCAACCCGCCCAGGCACGTTCCCTTCTCTCTGCCATAAATTAAACCCTCCGATCCACTTCTTCCATAAACCCGAAAACCAATTCAAGTCAACCCCATCCTCAAATCTGGCTCGGAATATCTTGAAACGCCTGTTCCCTCCACGATCCCGAAGACCTGTTCCAATTATCCCTCTCGAAATCAGACCACTCGCTGGTAGCAGTGGTAGTAGTAATCGCCACTTTAATATGGAAATAAACGTATTCAAATTATGCTCTGGCCTTAAAGTTCTCGGCTACTTAATGATCCTTCTAGTTGCCGCCATTATCGCCGCCTCTTACTACGCCGTCGTAATCGTTACCTGCGGCCCACAATTACTTCGCGGCGGAGCCCACTCTGTTTTGGCCTTTGCTATTGTCATAGTCTTTCATCTTCTGGTAATTTTAAGTTATATTCTTTTTCAACTGTGATTGTGGTTTATTTTCTGTGCTATGGTTTTTGAGCTTTGAGTGAAAGTTGGAGGTGAATTTGTGTGATTTTTTTTCCCAGCTTATAATGCTACTGTGGAGCTATTTTAGGGTGGTTTTTAAGGACCCTGGTGCTGTGCCTGAAAGTTGGAGAGCTGTGCTTCCAGAGGAGGTTTTGGAGTCTGGTTCTTCATTGAATGACGGGTCAGATTGTGTAGCTGCTACGGATGGACTGGATCGCAGAGCGTTTTGCATTCACTGCCAGAATGGAAAGCCGCCGCGTTGTCATCATTGCTCTGTTTGTAAGCCAATATTTTTAACTGTTTGGTATTTAGTATTTTCTATGGTAGATGTTTTGTCATGTTTTTATTTGAATGGTCGTCATTGCTCTGTTTGTAAGCTATTTTCTATGTTAGATGTTTGTCATTGGATGTTTTTCTTTGAATTGTCGCAATTGTGTGAATTGCTATTATGTCATAAACAGTCAATTTTTTCTTAAATATTTGATGTTGTATTCTGTAGGCCAAAGATGTGTTCTTAAGATGGATCACCATTGTGTTTGGGTGGTGAACTGTGTTGGGGCATGCAACTACAAGTTTTTTCTTCTTTTCTTGGTAATTTCAACTCCACCTTTCATTGCAACTTAACCTTTCATTGCAACTTATAAATTACTTGTGACTACAGGAATTATGTTTGCAAAGTTGGTGATTTATAAGACTCGTCATTTGTTGATAAACCTGGAATCGCATCTGTTTCTAGATGTATTTGAGAGTGTATTTATAGCATTTCCAGCAAATGATTTGCGATAGCCTGTGCAAATTGCAATTGTAACGTTTTCTGATCCGCCTCACTAAATCTCATGAAGTTGTTTTGTTTGGTTTTAGCAGTCTATGTGAAGACTGACTTTGAAATTAATGTCCTAATTGGAGATGTTCTCCCCTATTAATGTTTAAATTTTAAGTAGCAAGTATTGAATGACCTGTATCGATAATTGGAATATATTTTGCATGAGATAGTTAGATGTGTTTGGGAGCTGAAAAAAATGAATTCACCCCACTTCCGCACTTGAAGTCTTGTTGATTGTATACAATCAGACATCATTTTTTGACTCTGTTGAAAGCCCGTCATAGGATTAAAAGAAGGAATTGATAGATTTATTTTTTTTGTTTGATTTGCCTTCAAAGATGCCCTTGGTATTTGTAAGTTGATGAATTCAGTAAATACTGAATACTCACTGAAGATTGGGAATGCTGGCCGAACTACCTGACTTTAGGCAGTTCTTGAATATTAAAAAGCCATTTGGTTTTGTTATATTTTGTTTGTGTTTAAAGTACCCACAGAAAGCTCACTTGATTTTTTGTTGAATATTGAGAAGTTTTGGAGGTTGGTCAGGCCATTAGGGGTTCTCTCCTCTTTCAGCTCTTCTGACTTAACTTTTTGTAGTTCTAAACCTCTTTTCTTTTTCCTTGAAGCTATACACATTTCTCGAGACAACAATGGATACTCTAGTGTTGTTGCCTGGTTTCATCAACTTCTTTGGCAAAGCCAAGAATCATTCCAGCTCTCCTGGTGATCTAGCAATCATCTTTTTGGCTTTTGGTAAAGTATCCTTTCATGTTAATGATTTTCATTTTCATATTTTAGCCCCGCATTCTCATTGTTCCCTTGTGTCTTACAGATTGTATGCCTTGATGCAGTTCTTAATTTGGCTTTTGCCCTCAGTCTCCTCTGTTTCCTGGTTATGCACGCATCTCTTCTGTCAAGCAACACTACCTCAATAGAGGTAAGAAAGAAAAATTTACATTCTGTCTAACTACATGCTTATTGATGTATGTTCTTCATGCTGGAAGAGGTCATGATACATGAAATTTGTGTTATTCTGATGAAAAACAGCTGAATCATGACATAGCAAGAGCGTGATTGTTAAAAAGAGCAATGGCCTGTCTGTTCACATTCAATGAAATGCATAGTTAACGTGATTCACCTGCTGTGCAAATGTTGCAATGGCCTCATTCAACTATTTAGTTGATTTTTTTACACGCTACACATTTAGTATAAGAGTAAAGAAATAGGTCCAGCATGCTTTCCCTTTTGAATACCTTGTGTAATCTTTTGAAGATCATGTTCAGGTTTATGAGAAGAAAGGAGCAGCCAGGTGGAAGTACGACTTAGGCAGGAAGAAGAATTTTGAACAGGTGAAACCTGCCGTGCTTTTTAATCTCTATCTTTCATGTTTCTGGATAGGATCTGGTGAAAGAATGTCTCTTTTTGGCAGATAATAAACAACTTTAACCACTTTTTTATATGTGATAAATCTACAAATTTGCACTGCTTGATCATACCTCGAAGGAATTGATCTGCAATTGCAAGAATTGGAACATAAAAAAGTACGATTATTCTGCTTCTAGGGATGTGTTTTAGCTTTCAGGGTGAACATGTGGCCTGAAGGCTGCCATTAGGGACAGACGTTTGGCCCTTGTTTTTGGCTCTTCTGCTAAGAATAACTTTGAAGGCTGTTTATTGGGACATCTCATGACAAAGGTTTATCAATTTTCAATTAGATCATATGGGCTGTAGAAGCCACTTTTTCTTCCAGGTGGACCTTGTTGGTCTTGTATCTAACGGCATTGCTGCTATTTTTTCTTGAAGGTTTTTGGCACAAAGAAGGCACTGTGGTTCTTTCCATTGTTCTCTGAGGAGGATGTAGACAAAATACCTGCACTTCATGGCCTTGATTTTCCAATAAACTCGGATGTTGAAGCTGAGGCTTGTTGAGCTCGTGACCTCCCTCATTCCACTGCTGGAGTTTCTGGCAATGTACCATAATACATTCTTTTATGCGAACACAGGGTGAAAAAGGTTCAGTCCGATCCATTTCATTTATTTATTATCATAATCTTGGTTGTGAGAGAGTGCCTATGAAATTTTGGGGCAGCCACAAATTTATTTACTTTGCCACAGAATGTTGATGGAGTAGGTATTCTATCAGAAGCATAATCGTTCTATCAGAATCATAATTGTTATACTGCTAGCAAAGTGGGAAGCGTTAGTATTTGATGATCTAACCATTCCATTTGAATGGCATTGCAGAATGTACAATTTTTTGCCATTTCACATGTGTACAGTTATGCAGATTTGGTGGGAATTTTTCTGCCATCCTCTTTATTATGTAATCTCCATCCTCGTTCATCAATCATTTTGCAAATCCAAAATTTATTTATATCGACTTCTTTATTCTTCTTCTTCTTCTTCTGTTATTTATTATTGACATTCCTCAAAAGATATTTGGTTACAAGCTCGTTGACATTAGAGCTTCACGTTGTCTTTCGAAAGTACGCGTGCTCATAACAAGTGAAATTCTTTTTAAAACCCATTCGATCAAGGCATACTCATTTGAATAAACTATAACCAAAAAACAGACTGGGGAGGGGAAGATTATTGCCTCAGCTACCCATTCCTGATAAAATGACTTGATTTTTAATAGATTGTGGTATGATTGCTTCTATATAATATTAAAACTACACAAGTGGATACCTGTCGTCGCATTTCACGCCTATGATCTGAAAAGACATCGCTGTCTTTTATTTGTTTTTAACTACATTAGAACGCAAAAGAAGAATCAGAATGGCACGGTTTATCCAGAAACCTACCTAACACATGCACCCGCCTGAACTAATCAATCTCATGATACCACGTTATGTTTGTTACGCGAGCCTACTAAAATTAATTTGCAGTATAAGTTGCAGATGAGCATTTTAGTCCCATGGCAAGGTTGACTCCAATTCGAATCTTGCTCTAAATATATTAGAACTGAAAAATAACATAACCATAGATTTTGTTTTATACGTGTATCATATAAGCAAATCCTGCACAAGTAAAACCTACAAGTAATGTTTGTAGCAAGTAACCAACTAAAATACTCATGAATCAAATCACTCTGCAATTGTTTTTTTTTTTATAGTTTCTTTCAGCATCAACTGAGTCACCTACCTAAACAACTTCACTCGTTTTCTGAGAGTTATCATCATCTTCATCTACCTTATAATTACATGTTTCGGAGACGACGGCGGCGAACCAAGCAATTACCGGAGTAACAAACAGAATGAGACCAAAGGGCACCATCCACAGCTGACTATTTGTAGGGTGATGTTCATAATCCCACCAAAGCAGTAGTAATGCTCCTGCCAGACTCACCAAAAATGACCACAAACATATTATGTATGTCTTCACAATCTTCTCCGAATATTCTTGATTTGCCTCATATTTCTGATCTTCCTTGGATGTTCCCATCAACCAAAACCAATACTTGGGGTTTTGAACCTCTGAAATTCAAGAACGAAGAAAAGAAGAAAAACTGAACCATCATTTATCATTTATATTTGCATAACAAGCTTTAGCGACCCTAAGAACTTTGTCAAAAGCAGCAACTTCGCTAAGAAACATACCTTAGTTTGAAGGAGAATCGGAGGTGTATTAATTTTGTTAAATATGGTGTTGGAGAGACAGATTAAGGAGCCGCTTGCAGAATGAGACTGAGAATGCAGTGATCTGTCGGAATTGCTAAGAAGGCAAGAGTCCAATGACGAAGGTATTGGACTATTTAGTGGTTTAAGAGAAGACTGATTGAGCTACGATACGACGTGCCTTTTTATGAAAGTTGTCATATGTTAAATGAACCCCATATTTAAAGAAGAAAACGGTTACGTCCTGGGTTTGAACATTGTGATCGATGAAGCTATCTGGGGTAGATTGGATTTGTTTGACAGGTGGCTTGTTTTCTTTCCAGGATGCAGTTGGGTTCAAGTTTAAAAAAACATAAAGTAATAATCTTCTTTTCCCTTTTTTTTTTTTTTAATTATTATTTGCCTTTCAATTTTCAATTTTGATTATTAATTTGCATCATTTGGCTTTTCTCGTTTTGTTTTTAAATAATGTAAGATGCTTTCCATGTTTTTGAACTCTATTTCATCATTCAGAATTTCACTCTGTTAATATATATATACATATATATATAGAGAGAGAGATGGTAGGATTACCGTGAAAGTAATTTTTGTATAATTGAAAACGACATCTCATCCACTCAAAATAAAATATCATTTTTACTATCTCATTTTCCTTCTTTTTATAGACCAACTCAGTTTCTTTGCACAAAAGACTTTTGTTGCTTTTTTTCCTATTTTTAATGAATAATTATCAGATTGTATGCATCGTTTCCCTTAATTTTTTTTTAATAACTCACATACTTAACACACACACACACTATATATATATATATATATATATATATATATATATTGTAAAAAACCACTACAGGAACAACAAGCCCATTTGTTTGTATGTATTGTTTCCTCGTTCACTTGAAAACGGGATTTCATGGAAAAGAATAGCAGCTAATCATTATTATCATGTACCAAGTAGATTTTAGCCATGGAGTAGGGGTGTAGCGCAGGTGGACTTTATTGAGTGGCTGAAGTTCTTTAGCCGCGCCTTTTGCGTTGGACCTATTAGTTTATAACGAGCTTTTCTCTAATTAAAATGTATTTTATCTGCAATGCGGTAACAGGCTGCACCTTGGTCAGTTATATTTAGGGATGCTTTGCTTTATTTAGGGAGAAAAAAAAAAGCAGCAATTTGCCCTTGGTTTTTATTCATCCCCAAATCGAGGGTGTCATTGTTGCTTTTCTAGCAGCTGCTAATTATAATTCCAAGGGGCAGGGTCCGTGGTTAAAGAAGTTTAACTCTAGATGTAGAATCAAAGAGAGAGAATAGCTAATTATGCCCAATCCTTAACAAACACCCCTAGCGGGTTATTAGTTCTACTGTGTTTTTACGTTGATTATATACAGTTGATTTGGAGAAATTTTATGATATTTAAAGAGTAATTAATAATATGTATAGTAGTTATTTTATGAATCTATTTTGAGAAAACAGATAGACTCATTAAAAAAAAAATTATATCCGGACCTACGGTTTTCACGTTTGCTTCAATTTTTTTTTTAATTTTCTCCATTCTATTTCTCTCTCATTTTTGTTTGTTTATGTCAATCTTCGTAGTTGATTCATAAAATAATTACTGTAGATACTACTAACTATCTTTTGAATATTATAAACTTCTCCCTGCTGTCGAAATCTCTTGATTAACGCAGGGACGACTGTAAGACAAATGACCAATGGCCGTAAACTCTTGAAACAAGGAGCTTGGGCCTTGGCCTGCTTAGAGTAGATGTTGGCCCGGCCTCTGCAATCCCTTTGAAGAATAGAAGTCCATTCATTATTAGAATTAACAGCTGGAATGCCCAAAATCCAATCCACTATGATCCGATTCTTATGCCTTTCCAGTTCGAAACAACCCATTATGTACTTGATATAACCCAAGTTTAGGTTCAAAAAAAATTAAAAGAAAATATAAGCAGGGCCAAGCCAGTTCAGCGAGTTTTGTATGAATTCTCATGAGCCGGTCTGTAATTTGTGGGCTCAAGAAACGGAGAGAGGATTGTCTTATATGACTGGCAGCCCATAATAAAATCAGCATATCTAACAAGGTTCTTTTGGGTCTACGTTAAATTATCCCTCAAGGAGCCATTCCAAGCCTAGCTAGTATGATCAGAAATCATCGAAATAGTGTTTTAAGTGTAGTATAGTAAAAAGCCCAAATAGGTCAAACAATCTTGAATTTTAATCTATTTAAAAATTAATTCTTAAACTTTAAATTTTAGATTTAACTTCCGATTAATTTTATTTTTTTGAGTTTTAATCCATTTTTTTAGGGAAATGATTATAGTTGAAAATCATATGATAGATTAAATCTAAAAAATAAAATTTATCGGAGGTCAAACTCTAAATTCAAAGTTTAAAAACTGATTTTTAAATAAACTAAATTTTAAAAGAGTTTAGCCCTAAGTAAAAAAAAAAAAAAAATGCTTTAACAAACAAGTCATGTCAAACTTCATAGTACTTGTTAACAAAAATGGTAAGTAATAAGAAATACTCTATAGGTATATAAAAAAAGGTCAACCATGAAAAAATATCAGATCAGGTAGATAAAAAAAATTGAATAATTTATCTGTTACATAACATTGGTAAACTAAATTAGGCAAAATATCCAATAATTCAACCTAGTACGTCACATCATCTTCTTGTCGAATCAAATAATTATAAGTCGCATAAACACCTCAATTTTGTTTGGACCACCACCAATGCCAAGTATTGCAGTAGGGCTATCTTTGTTCTCACGTTTTATCTTTGGACCACCACCAGCGCCAAGTACTGCAGTAGGGCTATCTCTGTTCTCACATTTTATCTTTAGCAGTCGTCACTCATCAGATAAAATCCATGAGAAAAATCTCTCCACTCAAGAATGTGTGGACAAAGTTCCACCATGACACGTCAAGGAAAGCAACAAGATAAAACGCACATGGGAATCATTGAAGGAGGAATGTAGTCAATCAATTCCCCATGCGAGACTGACTTAAAACGCTCTGGACGTTCTCCATTATTGGAACAAGACAGACAACTTACCGTCTATCCAATTTTCTGCCTTTCTGTTATGTCTTTACTGTGGCCACCTCATAATGCGTAATGACCAATCGCGACATTGACGGGGCCAATTTGTCCCCCTATTTTTTGTGATATATATAAGTTTTCTGATATTTTTCAAAGTATTAAAATATTGTGTATTTAGCAAATATAGGTGACAGAGACGCATGTGGGTGATCTTTAATATCAGCATATTCCTTTACATAAAAAATTGAGAGTAATTTGGTTTTAGGAAATATATTGATGATTTTATTCAAAAATCAAAAATCGATGTCTTCTTCTATTATCTAAAATATTATTTAATTTTTACAGATGGAAAGTCTAAAATAAAAATATAAAAATTAAAATTAAAAAATTAACAAATCAAAATGATATTTCCTTCTAACACTACACTTAGAATAGTAATAAAAATTTAAAAATCAAAATTTAAAAATTAATTTTATTAACTATAATAATAAAAAAATGACAAAAAATAATTACAATAATAATTATGATATCAATAATAGACTAATAGTACAATAATATAAATAATATATATTTTTTTAAAAGATGCCATCAAAAAATAATAATGATAGTAATATGGTAAAAATAGTGATAATAATGAATAAAAAATGATGGTGAAATCACATTAATGATAATTTTTTAATCTTCTTTATCACCTTTGCTAATAAAAAAAATCTCATTCTTATTTTTTATTTTATTTCTACCTTCTTCCATAAAACTATATTTTATTTTATTTTTTCCATTAAGCACGTATAAAGTAAGAATAAAATATGGTTTTTATTTCTGCCATTTAATTCCTTATTAGTGAACAGCACTGCAGTTTTTATCGAGAAAATTTTGAGAAGCTTATGCAAGGGCTGAGTAGGTAAATTCACTGTTTCTACATAAGCCTCCGTATCCGTAAAAAGAAAAGAAAAGGAAGCGAAAATTACCAAAAATGTCAGACACGGAAACACGGAGTGCATTGATTGAATGGTGTTAGAAACGTCAGATAGTATCCTTCCCTCCCGGCTCAGGGACCCGCATTATCTCTCCTGCATCGTCACACCATCCTCGAAATTTCCTTCCTCTCTTTTTCTTCTTCTTCCAATCCAAACAAGAACCATTCCATTTATACTATATAACACCTGCACAAATTCAATTAATCAGACAATTTCAATTATTATAATTAAAAAATTAATTAATCATGAGTGTTAAGGTACCTGCGACGAGAACTCGAGTAGGTAAGTACGAGTTAGGCAAGACCATAGGTGAAGGTAGCTTTGCGAAGGTCAAGATCGCTAAAAATGTTCAAACCGGTGATGTTGTTGCCATTAAAATTCTTGATCGTGATCAAGTCCTCCGTCACAAGATGGTCGAACAGGTTCTAATAATATTCATTTTTTTTATTTCAATCAAGTGTTGTTTGTTAGTTTATGTACTGTGTGAACCAGGAATATATTACATTCTAATCATGATGATTTATCAATGTTAAATCAATGAATAAGAAAACTAGTTGTGTTGTTTAATGTGTTTTATTTGTGTTTTTTTTTTTTTTTGTCAGTTGAAAAGAGAAATATCAACAATGAAGCTGATTAAACATCCAAATGTCATCAAAATTTTTGAGGTACATAAATTTTTTTAAGAAGAAAAGTTTCTTGAAATTTTTAAATATGCGACTGATTCTACTTCACTACTTGTGCATTTACAGGTTATGGCAAGCAGAACTAAGATTTACATTGTCATTGAGTTTGTTGACGGAGGAGAGCTCTTTGACAGAATTGTAAGAAATTATTATCATTACTTGTTTGAGCGCATTTCTCTGGTTTATTATTGCTTTTTCCAATTTTCATTTCAAATTTTCTTGTACATTAATGATGTTTAATTAGTCAGTAGTGACCACGTAAATCGAAAAATTAGGAGTGTTTGATTGTCCATATGCTCCTAGGCTAAGCATGGGAGACTTAGAGAGGACGAAGCCAGGAAATTCTTCCAGCAGCTTATTAATGCCGTGGATTACTGCCACAGTAGAGGCGTTTTCCATAGAGATTTGAAGGTGCGCCCAACTTCCTTAATTTTCTAGATTCATTTTTCTGATGATTGATGTGTTGAGAAATATATGTGTATATATATACTTGATCCTGCCTCGTTCAAATAGAAGTTGAGTTGTTTATCATTAATGGCTACTCTGCATTTGTGCAGCCTGAGAATCTTCTTCTTGATTCTCAAGGTGTTCTTAAAGTTTCGGATTTTGGATTGAGTGCACTGTCACAACAATTGCGGGTAAGCATTATTTGATTGTTGCTTACATCCTTACATCCTATTCTGTAGGTTTATTATGCCGAAAGGATCAGCTCTCCCTAAGTGGATTTATTTCAGAAATGTGTTATTTGATACTTGGATCTATTGCGTATTTGTTAACATTTATAGGACGAAAATATACATTCTATCCTGTATGTTCATGCTGAAAGGATCAGCTTTCTCTAAGTGGATTGATTCAAGAAATGTGTTATTTGATACTTGGATTTATTGTTTATTACCTAACATTTATAGGACGAAAATATACATTCTATATATATAGACACTGGCCTCTTAATTTTGAATTATAGAATCTGATAACTACTGAAAGCTTGTGGTTGGAAGTAGATTTTTTCTGCAATACACAATAACGAAGGCGGACACTTTTCTTACTATTTTCTAATTTTAGGGTGATGGACTGCTTCACACTGCCTGTGGAACACCAAATTATGTCGCACCTGAGGTATTTTACCTTTAATTTGGTGGAAATATAATTCTCGAATGATGAATTTCTGTACCATATTGATTGTATATGTTATTTTCTTTCCAGGTTCTCAAAGAAAAAGGTTATGATGGCACAGCATCTGATGTATGGTCTTGTGGGGTCATTCTCTTTGTACTTATGGCTGGATACTTACCTTTTGATGAGCCAAGTCTTATGGCTTTATACAGAAAAGTAAGTAAACTAAAGATCTTGTATCATGATTTCAGGATAAGAGAATTTTGTTATTCATACTAATACATGTCCAAAAGTAATCTCAGATCTGCAGTGCTGATTTCACATTTCCATCATGGTTTTCATCTGGTGCAAAGAAACTGATAAAGCGTATTCTTGACCCAAAACCTCTTACAGTGAGATATAGATCCCTTTCTTTGTTCGATATAACATGAAATACTCATAAATTTTGAGTTCTTCTGGACTTGTGTGTTATTATTGTGTTTAGAGAATCAGCATATAAAATACCTAATGCAATACCTTATGGCTTTGTTCTTTTCTTAATTGGATGCTTATAGTCACTAATATTATGATTGCATATGCTGTAGAGGATAACAGTTGGTGAGATTTTAGAAGATGAATGGTTCAAGAAAGGATACAAGCCACCGAAATTTGAGCAGGAAGAGGATGTAAATGTAGATGATGTTGATGCTGTTTTTAATGACTCGAAGGTAAGAATTTTAATTACAAAAGCTAACTAATTTACCTTAGACAAGGCATCAATATAATGTGTGCTAGCACCAAACTTTCTGCAGAACCTTTTAGAAAGGGCATTCATAATGTTTAATCCCTATGTTCAAATCTTGGCACTGGATTTTGTTGGGCTTTGTTTTGTGTCCTTGGCATTGTAAACCGACAAACAATGCATTAAATCTGAAATGGCAATATATTAACGCAACAAGTTCTAATTTTAGTTATTTACTTTGCAGGAACATCTGGTGACAGAAAGGAAGGAGAAACCTGTGTCAATGAATGCTTTTGAGCTTATTTCTAAAACACAAGGATTTAGCCTTGAAAATTTGTTCGGGAAGCATGTAGTACGTATAGTTAGATTTCTTTCATTACTTAGGTCATTGCTTTTAAATTTTGCAATTCCTGGTCCCACTAATGTGAAAGTGGCATATTATGTGGCAAAGTTTTGAAAATTGGAAGATCAAGGGTTTGCCAAGGCAAATGAACAGACCACTTCTTTTTTTTTTTTTTTGTTTTAGAGTATGCAGCCTTTTGGCCTTAGTTTGAATTGGTCCTGACTCAACCCCTCTACATAATCATATAAATAGCAGTGGTTACTTTATGCTGTCCGCCTTCTGATCTTCCTTTTTTAGTGAAGTTAAACTCGTTATTGCTACTTAAATGTCTCTCTTCGTGTCTCTCTGTTTGTTCCAGGGTGTGGTGAAACGAGAAACCCGTATTGCTTCTCATAGCCCAGCAAATGAAATTATGTCTAGAATTGAGGAAGCTGCTAAACCTCTGGGCTTTAATGTCGACAAACGAAACTACAAGGTAATGGTTTCTACCTCGAATTTATATCCATGCATTATAATTTCCCTTTTTTCTTTTCAATTTTCTTGTCTTCCCCTTTTTTAACCAAAACTTTACTTAAACTGCTAGCTTTTATATTTATAATCCTGTTTTCGAAATTGAATGCCTTTGTTTCCGAACTACTCCAGATGAAGCTGAAAGGTGACAAAAGTGGGAGGAAGGGCCAACTCTCTGTAGCTACTGAGGTAACTTTGAGTTAATCCATGGTGCTTCTAAGATACTTATGAATCTCTTCACAATGAAGTAAAAAATAATTTGTATCGTATGAAGAATAATGTTTTTCCTTGCTCTAAAACCTCCTCTTTGATATTCTATTTTCCAGACCCCTAACATTTGTAATTTTGCAATCATGTTTGAGTAATTACCACTCGTCCTTTTCTCTTTCAAGAAACAAAAAGTTGTCTACGTCATGATGCAAGGCAATTACATGGTAGCTTTCTCAGTTATCATGGAAATTAGTAGGAATCTATTTTTCTTATGTAGTATGGATTCTATTGCTTAAAAATGCTATGTTTTAAATATCTTTGGATATAATCTTTTTTTCCGTTCTCATCAACGCTGGCCTCATGTTTATGCATGTTCAAAGCCATTCTTTAGTGTGAATCACAGGGGTTTCGGTTTTAAAAAAAGGAAGATAAATCCGTTGTGTTTTATCCTAGCACTCAGTCGTCTGTTGCATTTTGGATGTCCAGCAACTTCAGGTTATGGACCAATATTGGTACTATTGTCTGTGCTGTTGCTTCAACAGGAGTTCTGAGAGCTCATTCTCGTTGAAATTTATAGCCAATACTTTCTGTTCTAATTAATAATCCAGGTTCAGCTTCACTGAAAAGCCTTGAAACTGACTGTTCGAAAGCTTGTTATTCCTCTTTAATGACAAACTCTGCCATTGTATCAATTCAATCATTGAATAGTTCTCTGGCAGCCTATCAAAACTATGTAGGCTGATGGTTGTGCATTTCAAATATTTGATGCCGCATGTGGCAGTTGACAATTTGTTGCTTTTGAACTTTCAGGTTTTTGAAGTAGCTCCCTCTTTGCACATGGTGGAGCTCCGGAAAACTGGTGGTGATACGCTGGAGTTTCACAAGGTATGTCAACGTTCTGATTTTGATATCTCGGATACAACAAAGAAGGAGCTCCGTTTGGATAGGATGGAAGAATTTTAATGGGCCAAGTCTGTGGTTGACTAATATAGTGTACATTTCTCTTATGCAGTTCTACAAGAGTTTTTCATCAGGTTTAAAGGATGTAGTCTGGAAATCTGATCAAACTATAGAAGGATTAAGGTAAACTCTCTGTGCTTCTGCACGTGTACGTGAGTCTGCATGGAGTGCAAATTTAACTGATTAGCGATTCTGTTGTTCAGGTCATAGCAGAATCTTTCCTACTGGGTCCATTCCTTTACTCATTCTTGGTATTTGTTTTTAGCTCCTTGCACAGTAAATTTTTTTACAAGTTTTGATCGGTTGGCGTGGTGGTTTCAAGTGACATGTGGTAGGAAGAAATGGAATTAAAGCTCCCAAAAGATGGGCCTTTGTTCCTGCAACCTCCCCCGCCCCCACTGGCAAAGCATCCTTGCCTCTCTTTTTTTCCTCCTTGTTCATTCTGCATTAATTTCTTGATCTGAATAAAACTTGATGGTGGCCCATTTAATTGGAGAAACCCTCCATGTGCAACGAAAGAATTTAATAGATGACGCTTGTGAGTTTCAAGAGGTTATATTTAGTGGAATTTATGGAAATCTCATACCGGAAATCTCACACAGGACCTGTTAGGATTATACTGACTTCAATTATTGAATGGTTTCCTTTCTCTTTCTTTTCCTTTCCTTCCTTCTTGCTTTTTTTTTTTTTTCCGTTCTATGTGGTTGTTTCTAAACCCAATGTTAGAGAATTCATAATAAAACCCGCATGGATTTCAATCCCAAATTGAGAAATCCTCATGAGTAATCAAACTATGTACCGCAGCGAGAATACTAAAATACTATAATTTTTGGTTTCTTGTTTGAGGTTTGTATAGCTTAACGTTGCACGCAAACAGTAAAGAAGTGAAATTAAATCAGAAACAATAAAAAAGGAGAAGGCCAGAAGGGAATTTGAACCGCTTAAGAAAATAAATATTTTGAGAAAAGTTGTTCTCTTGGAATAGAAAACTAGAAAACTTTTGATTTGACTGTGAGGCAGGTGAGATGGATTGATTAATTGAGGGAGAGTTGGTGAGCAAGTATTAGAGTGAGGAAATTCTTAAAACTTTCAGTCCTAATTTCAAAAGCATTCAACCATTATGGCACAAAATGGTCTATCTTTTAAACGAATAGAGAAATTATATACTTCGTTTATTTAGAATAGATTCTTTTTTCTATTTATATCTGTTTCGAATTGATTATCCAATCAAAATTTTAAATATTATACTTTTTTAAAATACCCTTAATCAATTCCCTTTTCCTTTTCTTATTTTTCAGTAACTAGAAAAATAATATTCATTATGTTATGAAATAATGAATATTTATTATCATATTCATCTACTTTTCATATCCTCATTACTCATGATTCCTAATATGATTCAATTCATCATTCAATATGAGAAATTGAAAGGGTGATGCAATTGATTATTTATAGTCCCTTCCAATTCTCTTCCCAAATTTGAAGCCTATAAATAGGCTTGATTGTTCATTAGTTGGTATACAAGTTTTCTAGAAAGAATAAGAGAAATTTTGAAGTTATTATCACTTGTATCCACATTATAATGATTGTATTTTCTTGTCATCCTTTCCTTCGATTCTCTTATTATTTTTATTTTTTTATAACACGTTATCGGCATGAAGCTCTAAGCAATCGAGATAATAGATCATGAGGTATGTATCTATCAAAACACTTAATCAATTGTTTCAATCATTGGATTTCTTTTGAACAAGTGCTCTACTAATTGGATCTAAATTATTATTTAGATCATTAAGAGGTATGTATCTAATTTATTATGTATTTTAAATCTAATGATACATAGAATATACATTTGAAAAATTTTAAATGATTTAATATATAGAATTTAATGATCTAATATATGTTGTTTGAAAAGCTTTAATTTTATTATTATGTTTGTTCTTATTTTTTAATATTATTATTATTATATATTACATTATAGAATTTATATCATATCAAACCTCATAAACCTACTTTTGTTGCTCTTGATATTTCGAATAAGAATTATTGATCATGAGTGCTTGATTCTGAAAAAATATTATCCATTTTTTATATCTTGAATATGCTCATGCAGTAGCAATATAAAAAAAATGAATTTAAGAAATATTTTGAATCGATTTCATAGTTGCTTATGGCTAAATAAAATGACAAGCTATTGATGAAAATGAATAAATCTCATCTAACTGGATTTACTCAATTCCCCGAAGTGGATGTGACAACTTATAATAATTTTAAGCATGGACAAAGATGTGGTCATAGCCATTGACGTATTCGAAATAATTATCATTATAATCATGATGATCATAATATTACATCTCACCACCGAAGTGGATAACTATGAAAAAAAAGAATGAAAATAAACAAAGTCGACATTCTGAAAAATAAATATTATAGATGTGGAATGAATGAATATAGTCGTATACTGCCGTACACCAAAGCACCTCATTGAGCTTTGTTAAGCCTTATTGAAAAATAAAGAGTAAAATATGAAGATCACTTTTATATATCAAAATAATAGTAATTGAAATTAATTATTTGTTAGTTTTTCTAATTATAAATAAAATATTTTATATTTCTTATAATTTATATCGTATAGTGATGGTTACAAATTTATTTTACTATTTATTTGTTTGTTTGTGTTTATGAGGAATTTATTGATTTATTATTGATTTATTTGATTATTTATTTTATGTTAATATTATATATGATAATATCATTATAATATAAAGTTCTAAAAGAGCGACTATATTATTATTTAAATAGATAAATTTTGAAGGCTCTAGAAGAATGAATATATTATGACATGAAGAGATAAATTTTTGAAGCTCTAGAAGAGTAGATATATTATTACTTAAAGAGATAACTTTTAAAGGCTCTAGAAGAGTCGATATATTATTACTTGAAGTGACATAATTTAAATGCTCTAAAATAGCAAATATATTATTATCCGAAGGGATAAATTTTATTATAAATGATTTACTATTCCGTTCAAAGTCTCATAGAAATTTATTGAGTTTTAAAGATATTCATCTAAATTGATATCATATCAAGATAACAAATATGAATACTTATATATTATAATCATTATATCGGGTAGAAAATATGTATTGAAAAATTTTATCTCGCTTTCTCTTTTAGTCTTTATTATAAACATTGGAATGATTGAAATAAATGCTATAGTAAATCGAAGTTTACTAATGCAAATACTTTTATTATGTGACATGACCAGTTGTGTTATCTTAGGTCTTTCATGATGCGAAAAAATCATTAAAAATTCATAAGAACATTTATTGAAGAGCCGAAGATTCTTCAATTTAATGAATTTTCATATTCTGCATATTGTCAAGACACATAGATTATTAAGCCATCACTAAGTAAAATTAAGATTGAATCTTTAATATTTTAGAATGTATTCAATGTGATATATGTGGATCAATTCATCTACCATGTAGACCATTTAAATATTTTATGATTTTAATAAATGCATCCATAAAATGGTTACATATACGCTTGAAACTTGACGTTTTCAAGATTGTTAGCAAATAATTTGATTTTGAGCATAATTTTTAGATTATGCCATTAAAGTAAGTCACCTTGATAATTTTGGTGAATTTATTTCTCAAGCATAAGATTATTATTGATTGACTATTAGAATAAAGGTTGACATTCTCGTTGCTCATGTTCATACTTAAAAAGGTTTAGCAAAATTATTTATCAAAAGGCTCCAATTGAGAGCTAAACCTTTATTTAAAAATAAAACTCTCTGTTTATGTTTGGGGACATGCAATCCTACATGCAAGTAACACTTATTCCCATCGGACCCATAAGTTATCAAAAATTCTCTCATCTTCAATTGATTTATGGTCATGAGCTAAATATTTCTTATTTAAGAATTTTTTAGCGTTGCAATGTATATCAATAGTGCTCCTCCATAATGAAATAAAATGGGCACTTAAAAGAGATTGAGAATATATGTTGGATTTGAATCCTTTTCGATAATTCAATATCTTGATTCATGAACAAGAGATATTTTTACAACTCGATTTATTGACTCGTTATTTTGATAAAATAGTTTTTCCAACATTAGATGGAGAGAATAAGCAAAATAACCAGTTGGAAATGTTGAAAAAAAAAGAAGGATTACATGGAGTACTCTATCTTCACATCATATTGAATCTCGTACAAAACAATGCAAACTAGAAGTTCAAAAGATAATTCATTTACAACCAATTGCTAGATGCATTTTCGGATCCTAAATGAGTAATTAAAATGCATATCCTCACCGAGAATACTTCTATTAGAATTGATGTCCCGTAAAGAAAGTCTATTAATGTTATAGCTAATGAATCTAAAGCACGCCCGAAGGGTGGAAGACCAATCGCTTCTAAAGATAAAAATCTCCAAAAGAAAAGGATAAGATGAAAATATTTATAAAATGGTCCAAGATATTTATGATAATATGCTTCCGTAAGAAGTTTAAATGCTTGAAAAAAATCAAGAGATTTTGATAAATTATGTCAATACAAGGAGAAAATAGGACCGAAAAGAAATATCTATTGATAAGATTTTTACATATAATATTGTAATTGATATCTTAAATGAAACTAAGAATCCTAAGCCAAAATTTATTGAAGAATGTAGACATAAAGATGATTGGCCTAAATGAAAAGAGCAATCCAGCATGTAATTATATTCTCTTATAAAAGAGTAGTTTTTTGAACCCATAGCTAAAACACCCGAAGATGTTAAGCTAGTGAGATACAAATATATATTTATGCAAAAATGAAATAAGAAAGATGAGATTGTAAGATACAAAGCAAAACTTTTAACATAAGAGTTTTCATAAAGAATTGACATTGACTAAGAGGAGACATATTCTCCTATAATGGATGTAATTATATTTTGTTATCTCATTAGCTCGACAAAATATATGAAAAACATTCATATGCATGCATTTACCGAATGTGATCATATTTTATTTGTTCATTTGAAATGATATCAATATGAACGTCCTATAAGGACTTAACATGCCGAAGTATGTAATACATATTCTCAAGAAAAGAATTCAATTAAATTATAAAGATCTCTATTAGGATTATTAGTATTTGTTTTATTATTTTAGTTTTTAGAAATTCAATTTATAGTATAATATTTTATATTTTATTACTAACCAA